GAAAAGTGGGTGAAGGGAGCCGTCGGACAGTAAAAGACATGACAAAATAATAATAATTTATAAATTATCAAGGTTCATGAGGGAGGGGGGTGCGGGAAGGGAGGAGGAAAAATGAGGAGCTGATACCAAGGGCTTAAGTGGAGAGCAAATATTTTGGGAATGATGAGGGTAGCGAATGTAAAAATGTGCTTGACACAATTGATGTATGTATGGATTGTGATATGAGTTGTATGAGCCCCCAATAAAATGATCAAAAAAATAAAATGTTCTGAAATTGATTGTGGTGATGACTGCACAAATCTTAACATGACTGAATTATTAAATTGTATGATATATACAGCATATGCTAATAAAATTATTAAAAAAGAATGTTGAGATTGTGATAAATATAGCTAACGTTACAATATATATAACTAATGTTACTAAACAATTTGTCTAGAAATTTTCAAATAGAAACCATTATTGTTTATAAACTCTTATCAAAGGTCAATAAAATATATTTTTTAAATTGCATGCACACAACACACACATATATAAAATTTCTGAAACAAGCTGAGTTTATAATTTTTACTTTCTTCATCACAATTTCCTATTCCAAGCTAAGTATTAATCAGGGGGGAAACAACTATTGATTAAAAAGTAATGTCCAAATAAAAAAAGCAATAGGGCTTGTCAATTTCCTGTTTGTGACAATGTACTCACTCACAGCTACTCCACGGGGCTGGGTAGAACTGGCCCTATGAGTTCTGAGAGTTATGGGAGCAGAAAGCCTAGCCTTTCTCCCAAGGAGTGGCTGGTGTTTTGAACAACTGACCTCGGGGATCACAGCCCAAAGCATCCTGGGTCAATACTGTCTCAGTGGCAGTAAGTGTGGTTTTTGGTTGGATAATATACTATCTCACCGGCATCAAGTCCATTCTGCCTCACAGTGACCTTATAGGTCTCTTTGAAGAGTGGAAAGCCTCATCTTTCTTGGGTGAAACAGCTGGTGGTTTCACACAGCATGCTGACCTTGCAGTTAGCCACACAGTGTGGAGCCACTATGCCACCAAGGTTCCTAATGTACTATTTTGGGATGGGTGGAAGGGAGGTAACTTCCTGTGAATCTCTAATAATTTCAAAAATCAAAAGTTTAAAAGAAAAACTAATTAGAGGGTTAATCAGACCAACATCCCAAAGGAACCTCTCTTCCAGCAAACAGATTTTGTATCTTTTTGGCTCAAAATGCCCCAAACCTGAAAAGCTGCCTGCTTCATAAAACACTATCATTTATTTACATTAAAAAAAATACATACTGTGGAATTACTTCAAATTTTGTATTATTTTAAAATTGTTTAATTATTTTCAAAATCAGAAGTACTTTACCCATCCTTGAAGGGTTTTCAAAAGCAACTAAAGTATAATAAATAACTATCTTATTCTAAAGGTGTTTTTGAAGTCCAAAAATAAATTCAGTTTTTAGTTAAAACCCTGTTTTCTACCAGACGTTGCAAGCCTAGCAGCCCAGTGTCTACTAGCTGGGAATAAGTACCCATGAGGAAGAGCCTAAAAGAACAATTCTTTCAAATATGATTACTGTAATTAGGTTCTATATAGGAAGCTAGCCTGTACAGAATATGCTAAACTCTAAATCCTTCTTTCTAAAGAAACAAAAACTATACATGACCAGATACCATAATACAAACCCATTCAGTTAATAATAATAAAAGAAGCTTCATATAGTAAATGTACTCAGAGCAAGCTTAAAGGAGGTCCAACGTACCTTTTGATAAGGTCTCTTAGGTGATAGGCTGGAATTGCGGCATTCACCACTGCTTTACTGGCAAAAATATGATCAATAAGAGCAGAACTGTTTGCCTAGAAAGGGATGAAAAGTCTTCCATTGGTAATTTAATTTAACACCAGGACTTTATAAGGTGAATCAATTCTTCCAGCACCTAACACTGTCACTGAACATTTACTAGCTGAGTGAGCAAAAAAAAAACCACCAAAGCAAAATCACCTAAAATGACACTTCACTGCAAAATGAGAATGAAATTGGTGTTAAGTGAGTCAGAGTGTCTTAGACAAGAGTTGCCAAATTAATTTTAGAAATCAAATAAATTATCAAAGGAAAAATGAGCCAAGAATTAAAAAAACTGGGTCATACAATTTACATCTAAATCTTTATGGAATGTAACATTTTCTGCATACTGAACTGAAAATTTGGAACAATATAAATGAGTAAAAAGACCTGGAACCACCTTTACCATTTAAAACTTATCGAATATGTATCATGTGAAAGATAGCACGCTAAACACTTTATGGATATAACAGTTTTTTGTTTGTTTGTTTTTAATCCTCAACACTGGTATATGTTGTCTCATCCTTATTTACAGAAAATAAACAATCGTTTGTTGTTGTTAGGTGTCATCTAGTCGGTTCCGACCAATAGTGACCCTCTGCTGCACAACAGAACTAAACACTGAACAGACCTGAGCCATCCCCACAATTGCCTGGTGAGTATAAATAACTTACTAAGAGGTGGGGTCAAGATAAGAACCCTAGTACAGTTGCCCTGTAGCCAACACTGGTTTGAGCAGCACAGGCCCACTTATAGACACATTGTTTTTCCTGTTGCGCTTGTAGTAAGCCCAAGTGTTGCAAATATTCACTTAAAAACACTCTGAGATGCTAAACAACTCTGTATGAGCAGCTCTTCGCTCTAATAATTGCTAACTCCTAGCCCTTCCATGCTCTCTAACTGGAGACAAATTGCTTACATGTAGATGCTTAGGTCATGTGCAGTACTTGAGTTCACTGCAAGAGCCAGGGGAAGAAAACTGTGTGTCAAGTGGACCCACGCAGTCCAAAGCCTTTTTGTTTAAGGGACAGCTGTAGTTCAATTTCAAGGCCTATGCTTGGACACACTTTGGAGACAATTTGTCTCCCAAAGAAAGTGATAAAACACAAAACAATAATGTTTTATCTAGAAAGGTAAACACTGAAATGTCTAATAGTATGCATCCCGGCTACGTAGACACAGCTCAAAGAGAGTCAAAACTAATTCAAGTAAATATCAATACTTGAGTTAGTGTTGGCAAGTAAACACTCAAGACTATTTGAGAATATCAATGATAAAGAATGCCATTTGTTTTACTGATATATTGGGCTTTTTCTTTTTTGGCCAAAAGTATGCTTAGTAAGGTACCCCCATTTGGTTATTAAAAATTTCTTTCCAGGAACAGCTGTACCAGATATTAGTGACTACTGATGTTTTCAAATGAAATTCTATACGGAGCTCCTCATGGTAGAAATGGATAACGTGCAGAGAGGCATCAAGGAAGAATGGCCTGGTGATCTCCTTCTGAAAAACCCATCACCGAAACCCCTATGCAGCACAGTGCTACTCGCAAACATATGAGCTAACCAGAGTTGTAACTGATCTGGCAGCAACTATTCTTTGTTTTTAAACTATATATTATATACATAAGAAAAAGTGTTCAATAAAATCAGTAATGATTCTGAGGCAGTTATTATTTACCAAGCCTCAAGTCTAAAGGACACTGATATCACATTAAAGTCTCGCAATAGGCTTGAAGATGATGCTGTTAATTCCTACCTTCAAACAGACCTCAAACTCCCTGCCATCGAGTTGATTCTGACTCATAGCGACCCTAAAGGGCAGGGTAAAACTGCCCTGTGGGTTTCGGAGACTCTTTACAGGAAGAGAAAGAACATCTTTCTCTAGAGGATGGCAGATAGTTTCTAACTGCTGACTTTGTGGTTTGCTGCCCAAGCGTACATCACCAGTACATTCTGACTTCAGCAGCCTTTCCTGGGAGCATGTTCCCAAGGAGAAAATGTTATAAACAGCAGTTGTTTTACCAGCAGAGTTCACATATGGAATACCCTGAACCAGTGTAGAACTATGGACCGAACCCTGGACTTTTGAGGAGGAGGAATGGCATCGGAGGCTCAGTTCTGTGACACTCCAGGTGTACAAAATGGAGCGAGGTGCTTTAGTTTCTCATTTGTAAAATAAGAACACCCAATGGCCACTCTGAATATCCTCATGGAGTTGTTGGGAGGATTAAGGTGGTGCATTCAAACACCTTCTAAACTGCAAAGCATTCATTGCAAAGTATTATGTGCAGACTATGATGTCACTCATAACCTACTATTGTATTAGTAACACTGGCATCTGTGGTTGTGTGTCCTCCATGGATTCCAACTCAGAGCCACCTTACAGCATGGAACAAAAATGCCCCAAGGGGGTCTCGATGACTGTCACCTTGAGGGGAACAAACACATCACTGAGTTTTTCATCTTGTGGAGCAACTGGAGGCCCTGACCCACCGGCGTTTCTGCGTAACCACCGTGCCACCAGGGTTCCTTTTTTAGAACCAAGCACCGTGAAACCTGTGAGAACCAGACCTCGACGGGACTGCCTTGTTTTTCTAGTTCGTGTAAGTTTCCACCTTGGACAAGCTGCATTCCTACCATTTTTCTACCACCCTCCCTCTCTTAGTAGAAAATATTTGAGTTTTCCTTCTCTGACAGGTTTACATACATGGATTCCGGCTTTTCATGGGTTTTTATGGTATAACTAAATAATTGAACAAAAGAAATCTCTTTTGTTTCTTTGGGAAGACACATACATTTAAACATTTTACCAACAGTGAAAATATAAGGCTTCATCAAGACATCGGTAGCCCTAAGAGGAAGTAGCGACATTTATAGGTAATGAATGCAGGAAAAGGAATATAGAGGTGAAGCAGGATCCCCTATGAGAATCATCATTAATCATCATTATTATTAATCTTAAACTGAGATTAAGAGCCCCAAAGCAAAAGCAGTGGTGCACTTTACCTTCCATTCCTGAGATCTGACTGTATGTTTCAGTTTCATTCCTGAGAACATTTCCAGTAAAATGATTCCAAGGCTCCACAGATCAACAGCTGAGGTACACTCTGTATCACTCTGCAGGCCAGCCTGGGCCAAACAATTTTGCAGTTCTGCTTCTGGAGCTCGATACCCGTCTGTTTGAATATACTTTACATCCTACACAAGACAAGCAAATATTACAGCAATGAAAAGCTGTTCACTTCTCATCTCTATGGTGTGTGGAAAGATGCAATAGGCCAGTACCGAGCTGAATGCCCACAATTTGAGTCCCTGGCTATCATAATGTTTTGTTCACCAAATGGGCATCTTCACAGACAAGTTGTATATTTTGCACACTGCTGTTCGTACAAGCCCTCTTTAGATAGTCATGCTATGAAATAAGAACAAGAGCTGATAAACCAGGGGGAGTGGAGGATTTGCCACAAAAGTTCTGTTGCCTTCTGCTATCAGGTCGAGCTCAGATCCTAAAGACACCAGGAATAGTAGTAGTTCAGTCATTGGACCTGACTTTGCAGGATTAGCGACTGAAAACCTTATGAAGACTAGCAGGCCCCAACATGTACACTTTTTTACACAATGGAACTAAAATTCTTTGTTTGCTCAATCCCCAGGCATTTCAGAATTTTAGACAAAAATGCTTTTTAAGTACCTACCCAAAAACACCCACACTCACTGCCATCTGGTTGATGCCAACTCACCGTGACCCTGTAGGACAGGGTAGAACTGGCCCTGTGAGTTTCTGGGATTATAACTATTTACAGAACTTGAAAGCCTTAGCTTTCTCCCAAGCAGCAGCTGGTGGTTTTGAACTGCTGACCTTGCAGCTAGCAGCCCAATATGTAATCACTAGGCTACCAAGGTTCTTCAAGTACCTATTACATCATGTTTTTCAATATTTGGTGTACACCATTCGATTTTAAACTATCAAGAGGGAGGGGCTGTTTCTTACCTGATTACCTTCTTTGAAACTAAGTCCAAAGTCAATGAGTTTAAAACATTCGTTCTCTGCACTCCACAATATGTTGCGTGGTTTGAGGTCTGCATGGACATAACCCTCATTATGAAGAAAAGCAAGGGCTTCGAGAACATCTCTAGCGCAGTGCTGTATCATCCACATCGAACAACCTTGGTGACTGGAATATAAAAGCAATTCCGAGACACTGACATCCAGGAGTTCAAGCAACAGACAACGTGATGGCACGTTTGGAGAGAAGTGGATTGTAAAGACTCCATACAAAGTCACTAGAAAAAGAAATAAATTATAATCTTTCAATACTTGGACTAAGTTACTATGCAATACATTATCTATAGTAGTTTACTATGCAATAAAAAATGTAGAGAGTCAAGAGAAGGATAACACTGCTGAGTAAGAAAGCTTCCTCTTCCCACAAAGAGTACTTTTGTAAACCGAGTTACTTTAACACACTATACACTAAGATGACCTTTAAAAGCTGATTACCATTAAGAGATGAAATATGACAATTATTCAAATTGTGTTTCACCAAACACTCAGTGGTGGACCCACTCAGCGTTTCACCATGTGTACTTGATGCCGAGCAAAGAAGGTCAAAAGTGAAAACCCAAATACTCTGTCTCACTGCCATCATGTTGACGCCAGGTCACAGGGACCCTATGGGACAGAACAGAACTGCCCCTGTGAGTTCCTGATACTGTAACGCTTTACGAGAATAGAAAACCTCATCTTTATCCTGGAGGGTGGCTAGTGGTTTCAAACTGCTGACCTTGCAGATCTCAGCCTGAAGCACAACCACTACACCATCTGTGCTCATCTATGTAATTCTCGTAAAATATCTACCATAATGTGCAAGATCAAGTTGAAGGCTGTGGTTACTAATGTTCTTTAAGGAAGAAGAAAATGTTCTAAAACTTGACTGCGTTAATGATTGTACAACTCTTCTTGATATGATTGAACTATTGAATTGTATGATAGGTAGTGCCAATAAAACTGATTTTTAAAAGTTCTTTCATTTTAAAGAGATTACAACTTTCCAGATTAACATTTTAACTTGATTTACAGATATTCAATAAATCTTCAGGCCCCCAAAATACGTTTCCTCTTAAATAACAGGGTTAATGTGGTACACTATTAAGTAAGCTACAACAAATCACAACCTATTAAAAAGCAGCAATAGGTTAGGGAATTATTTTCCAAGACAACAACATACAAAAATATCACTCTTAAAATTAAATATTAGGCCTCGTAAGGAAGGAAGTATGCCATTTCTTTACTAACCAAAGCTGTAACCAATTACAAGCTCTGTTTGGGCTAATGGCAGTGATGCTAGTACTTATGGATCAACCATAAGATGAACTAGTAAGTAATCACTGTAATCTCTAAGACTCTCAGTCATGTAACTAGTCTTAACAAGAGCAAAATGACAGTGTTCTTAAATTTCATAGTTCCATAAGGGCTCCAGTATAATACTGAGTCATGTCTTCCAAATCTCTCACTGCCATCCATCCAGTGGGTTCTGACTCATGGTGACCCTTGCTAGGAGTATGTGAGTTATTTGCATGGACGCTTATAAGCTATAGAAACATTGCCTCTGGTCCAGTGATCTTCAAAGACTCAAGGATTTCCACACACACAAAGAGATCACAATCTAGCAAAGGAAATCCCCTCCTTTCCCTGGAGAAAATGCTCTACAGCGAGTAAGCGTAGCATTCGCTGATGAGGCCCTAAGCCAAGAAGAACTTATAGAGCATCCACTTGGTAACCGTCGCTAGGTAAAGACCCCAGCTCCCAGTTAGGGCAGAAGTAACAAGAGTGAGAGGGGATGGCAGACAGGCCTGGGTCAAGGCGCGGGCAGACCGGCTTCGCCTGGAGGCTGCGAGCCGGATGCCCAGGCTCCGAGAGGGGAGCGTACGTTAGACCGGGAAGATGGGTGACAGCGGCAATTACCGACGTTCCGGTGTCCCTGCAACTGCTCCAACGCCGCCCTCTCCTTGCGGAAACCATACTCGGCGGCGGAGGCCGCGGCCCCGGTGGTTCCGGGCGGCAGGAACTGCTTGAGGGCGCCCGGCGGCGAGCCGGGGGTGCCGCAGCAGCGCACTCGATACACCGAGGC